CATTGGTGACCATCTTCCAAGATTGAACATTCCTGTTGGTCCCTGCTTTCAAGCCGATGTCCCAGAGTGGATTGATCCGCCCAAAAGAGAGACCTTGTACAATGAAGATAGTAGTTGGTTAGGCACCCGAATTTGGCCAATGGAGGGAAGAAGTACAGAATCGGAATTGGTTGGAAAAGGGAGATCAGACACTTGTTCTTGTGCATCTCCAGGATCTGCAGACTGCATCAAATGCCACATTAACGAGGAAAGACTTAGGCTTCAATTCGAGTGGGTCCTGCTTTCTTGATTTGGAGATTTGATGACATGGGAGAAGAAATTTCCAAGTCATGGTCATTTAATGGCCGGAGAAGCTTGAAGTCTTTCATGAAAACCAGACCTGTATCAAGTAAGAGTTTTTGGAAGCCTGTACATTAATATCTTTGTCCTGAGATATGAGAATGCCGACATGGGTTGGCCTCTGAAATTGATGATAGTGACAACGATGAAGCTGATGAGGCCTTGTACGTATTGCAAATCCAAATTAGGTGCAAAATTTATACCTGGTTCAGATTTCCATGTGTTTGTTTATAACCATGATTTGTACACCTATTGACCTATGCATTGTATTCAGTGCAAAATTTGCATTTTTTTTTGTTTATTGGCTATGCAAATTTTGAATCATAAAAAATGATGCAACATTTGTACTATCTTCTTTCAGCCTTTTTTCTCTATCATAAAATAGGGACCACAACATAATTTTACTCTTTGCAAGCAAACAAAACAACCAAGGTTCAAAAAATCACTACGTATCAGCTGATGATATGTATCATTCTGGCACTAAACCGATATGTAGAAACGAAACCAAGAGTTTGGTTTGTTTTAGTCCATTTCAGACCAATACGGACCCGTATCGGATCGTTTCAGGTCTGTATCAACCGATACAGGCAGATACTATGCCTATATAGCCAATATAGTTCCCTATAACGATTTTTTAATGCTTCCCTCTCTAATAATTTTCAAATTCAAATTTGTCTAACCCCTGTAATTATTCCCCCCTCTCTCAATAACCCCTTTAATTCCTACATTTAAGGCAAATTGGAAGTTTAAACACATCATTAAATACACTCTTAAATTCAAATTGGAATTTGAAACATGCCCTTAAACAAATTATAAAAATATAAGTAGAAGATCAAAATTTTGAATCATAGTTAAAATGACTATAAATCCACCACTATGTCATACCTTAATTTCTTGTTATATTTGTATGCATTTTGATTATTGAGTAATTTTTTCTTCTTAGAGGATATTTATCAATAAATGTCAAAAACAATTATTAAAATTTAGGAAAAATCTATGATACCAAAGAGACATTGTAGCAGAAAGATTTTGACCAATCAACCCTCCTCCCATGAATTTTGATAATTGGTTATAGTTTTTCCAGTATCATGTCTTTCCAGCATCGGTGTCAAACCATAAAATTTATGTACTAATCAATATTAAAACAAATTACATTGATTTTCTAAAAATTAGGGTATATACATACACATTTTAGTCCTTCCATCATGTTTTAATGGTTACCAATTGTGTCACAATGTTTCACAATGTATATAAACCATTAAAATATGTTTTTTTATGTTTAAGTCTCAATTATAATTGATGATGCGCGATCTGGTCAAGTCCTAGTCACCGGTTATCTCGCCTCCGACAGAGTTGGAGTTGCCTGAAACAAGGAAGGAACTGGAGACTTCCAGGGAGGAACCCGGTTGGGACACTCCAAAGCTCAAGTTAGTGTTCTTGAGGAGGCAAGAGGAAACAATGGATTCCAAAACTAAAAAGCACAAAAAATCGCATCCCTCCTTCCCCCTGAGATGGGGGCCTTTATAGTCACCTTGTATGCTTACTTCCGAACCCCTGTCAGTTTGGATATCATTACCTCTGCCAGATCAAGTCACTTCTTCTGCCAGATCGGGGGTCATTTCGGGTGTCATAACCTCCATTACCAGTTGCCAGTTCGGGTGTCATAACCTCCACTGCCAGTTGCCAGTTCGGGTGTCATAACCTCCANCAGTTGCCAGTTCGGGTGTCATAACCTCCACTGCCAGTTGCCAGTTCGGGTGTCATAACCTCCACTGTTGCCAGTTGCCAGTTCGGGTGTCATAACCGGGTGTCATAACCTCCAGTTGCAAGTTGCCAGTTGCCAGTTCGGGTGTCATAACCTCCATTGCCAGTTGCTAGTTCGGGTGTCATAACCTCCATTGCCAGTTGCCAGTTCGGGTGTCATAACCTCCACTGCCAGCTGCCAGTTCGGGTGTCATAACCTCCACTGTTCCTTGTCGGGGCCGTCCCTACCACGTTTGAGATGGTGGTGGCAGGTGGCCGTTGGTGGGCGGCTGTCATGTGTCGGACCCCTAATCAGTCAGGTGCGCCGCCTCCGTGTACGGGCTTTCTGGGTGTCAGGTACGATTCAATCAAGCAACTTGGTGCCGAAGTGGTGTGCGAGGTGGTCTTGAGTTCGGACAGAGTACGGCCCGAACTACCCTTGGGTGGGCAGTTCGGGTCTTTACCTTTTGTGCTTTTTGTAAGGCTCAGGACCTTGAAGGGAGAGCTCGGGTTCCTCCTTGGGGAGCTCAGGGCTCTTCAGCTTGGAGTTCAGGTTGTAGGTTCCCCTTTGGGGGAACTGACTTTTTGCTCGGAGCTCGGGTTGTGGGGCCCGCTGTCGCGCCGAGCTGGCGTTTCGCCAGGTCACTCTCGGTTGCTTCCACGTGTCGTATGGCCAAAGGGTCGGGTCAAATCTTCCTCCATCAATAATCATCTAGAACTTATATTTATTGTCAATGATGGATCCAAGACCGTTGACTAGTGGGACAGTCATTATCATAATATCAGCTTAGTCATAACATTTGAGTAAGTAAAACAAAAAAAATTAAGATTAAAATATTTTCACTTTGAACATTTTAAGAGGAATAGGTATATTTCACAAATAGATTATCTCTTCTCCTAGATTTTTGATATTCTCAAACATATAGAGATCTAAAAACTAAAAACGAAGGGAAAAAAAAAAACATTGCTCCTAACAAGCAATAGTTAGGACGATTTTGAATAAAAAAAACTAGGGCTTATAATTTGTAAAATACCAAGAGAGAGATCTCTTCAAATGTGTTTCGTCTCCCTGATTTCTTGCTTCACAATCCAGCAACCTACTCCAAGCCTCTAACCCTAAACTTGAAAAAAGAATAGATGATTTGAATGACCTTTTGAGTTTTTAGAGGCAATTCTTGTCGGTTGTCATATTGGAAATAAAATATGAGGATATTGAGTCACTTCACTTTTTATTATTTTAGTTTTAGATTTCAATAAGGTCCTAGGACATGGGTGTCATTATTTGACCCCTTACTCCTTACCAAAAAAAGACCCCCTACTATTTTATTTGAGTGGGGCAATTGTGAAAAAATTTAAAATTTTATTTACTATGTAAAAATTCCTATCATCTCAGTGGGGGTAATAGCCCACACTATACATAGATCTTCCTATCATCTCAGTGGGGGTAATTGCCCACACTATACATAGATTTGCCCATGTGTATTGTTATTAATATGTATTTTTTAAGATTTATCTAAATTTTTTAGTGTATTCATGTATATCTTGATTTTTCATTTACATTTATATGTATCTAAAGTGTATTCCAATATGTCTCTTAAAATTGTCTTCCTAATGTGCCACAATTTATACTCAATCCATTTGCACTGCCATACATTTTGCACCAGATTGAATGAAATATCTAGGTTAGCTTTAGAAGGTTAGCTTTAGAAGACTAGACAGACTCAATAAGAAAACCACAACTCTTTGGCATAATACGAGTTTGTGAATTTTTGGCTATGTAGTCATAATGACTAGGAAAATGTGGTTAAAAGCTTTGGAAAGGTGCTGTAAAATTAATTGTTGATTTTAATTATTTATATATATTTGAAAAACATTTCACATGTTTATGTTAGGGGTATTGCCTAGGAGACGGGATCTGCTCCTCACATATGGGCGCCTCACATGCACATCCACCATGCATTGGGAACATCTCCTGTGAATAATAATTAATAAGTGCGGAAGATGTTCCTAACGCAAGGTAGGATATGCGTGTGAAGCGCCTATGAGCCACCAGGTGTGAGGAACAGATCCGGTCTCATTGCCTTAGGGTGATCATGGGCTGAGCTAGACTTTGGGCCTAAGTCACTAATTAAGTTTTATATAATATATATTATACTATATAAGATATAACATATTTATAAAATATATGATATATTTTATATAATAAAAATGTTTTAAATAATTTATATTTTATGTATCATTTTATAACATTTATATACAATATAATATAACATTGATACAAAACATATATATACAAATACATATTTAGGCTAAGTATGGGAGGAGTGCTTATTTGATAAATAAGTGCTTATGCACCAAAAGCATTTATTTCAAGCAAAGGTAGTATATAGGTATTTTCAAAATGACATGACGGGCCAGAAAGGAAATAATCACTTAAAAATAACTTCAAAATTTGAGTTTCTTAGATAGCATTTATTCGGACTTATTTGCCAAACGCAAGTAAATGCTTATCTGAATAAACACTTAAAAATAACCACTCCCACAACATAAGCTCACCGTTGACCGATGTGAATGGTTTTATTTTCTGAAACAAAAAACAACCGCTATATGAATATTCTTGGGGTTCTTGGTAGCATTGTAAAATGAAAGTACTTGATTGCAACTAATGTGTTAATTTAAGGCGCTAGATGTGGTAAGCATTTTACATTTTTATGTTGAGACTTGAGAGGCATAGGTATACATCAAAATGGAATTAAAAAAAAAAAAAAAAGCCATTAACTCATTACCAATACTCATCCCAGCTACGGTGGGCTTGTCTGGGTTGAGCCTACCACAACGGGGCCGCTATTTAGGATGTACCACTTTCTCAACGACAAAGAAGCGTTTGTTTTCTTTTCTGATGAATGAAAACTCTTCACTAATTAATAATAGTGTTTCCTTTACTCAAAATGAAATTCCTCTTTACAATGGAAAGAAAAAACAAGGAAATTGAACAGAAGTACAGAACAGTGGGCTAAGAACAATTCTACAGAAGGTCGTATGGTTGTTGTCTAACTCAGAGAGTGCCCTATCAAATGGCCATTCAGAAATTTCAACATCAGTGCTCGACAAAACCAGGAGACACCAGCACTACAGAACAGAATGCAAGTTGAAAGTTGAAACTAAAGACCCTGGAGCCTTCAAAAAAGACCCTGGATATCTCAATAGACCCACAAATTCATCCCTTGGTCATGTGCTGATTTACAATGATATCAAGTCCAGGCCCCCATAACAGTGTTGTGGAAAACTACCCAATCTTCTTCACTGATGTATCAATGTATCATTCATTTCTGGTCATAGTATATACCTTTTCCCATTAAATAGATGAAGTTAATACACCATTTTGTAAGCAACAATAGGCTTGAGAAGAAGACCACGGAATTCACGGACCATTATTTAATTACAGGGAGCAGACCGTTGCATCTAGTCTGGAACAAATCAGTCTGAGAGAAATTTTGTTGATATTTCTGATAAAATCACCTATCAGATTTTGGGAGCTAAGCTTAGATGTTGAATTGACACTTGTATTGAAGTGAAGATTCACCAAGTTGGCAAGTTCCACATTAACCCCACCTATCTCATCTGCGCCCTTATCTGTCCAGCCAGATTAAGTACCAGGGCTGACCAGATCAGAATCTTGCTATGGTTCCACCATGAGGAAGGTGAAAGTTGCTTCTCCCCTTAATGCACAAAATCATATAGAGCATGATTCAATACTCCAAGTTCAACAAGCAGATAATTGGTTAGTTGTACAGCGACTCTGTCCTTGTCCTTGGTTTCTCCATTTTCACCTGTTATACCTTGTGATAAGTAGTTTCCACTTTCCAGCACCAGACATCAGGTATCATCGCCAATGCCACTTGTATACTTGTGGATCAATTCTAAATCATTTGTCCTGTGTGGTATTTGCTCCATAATTCATACTGCAGCATGAGGTTATAGGAATTTGGGTAACACCAACCAACAAAGCATTTTAGACTTCATTGAAGGAAAATGATGGCAGATTGACAGCCCTAGGTGCATTCAAGTTAAGAAACTCGAAAGCAACCTGAACCAGATCCATTATTACTATTGATGGTGGTTTGGTTTTGGATGTGGGAGGCAATGACCTTCAAACGTATCATCCTGTTTATGGGTGGAAAGCCTGTCACATCTGAAATCCAGCTCGAAAAATGATGCTGCAATGGCATGCAGTATTTCATGTAAAGTACATGCAGAAGTTTTACCTACAAATGGGAAAAAAAAACATCACTTGGGACAGAGTATGGTTTTATATAATGCAATTGAATAACAAAAGCTGAGTAGGAGAGACATTGCAATTGATGATTCTGTAACAAAACAGACCCAAATTCTGAGTTGTCAAAACAATCCTAGATGTTTTTTTTTCCATTTGTGGCATAAACTACTACGTAGCCATCTTCAGTTATGATGACTCAAATTACTCTACCAAACTCCTTGAGAATTGAAATGATTCCAAACAAAAGACAGTCTTTCCCTTTACTTTCATCCATATACAGGCCCATCAAGTAATCATGTATAAACAGAGAAACAAAGAGGAAGAAGAAAAAGGAAATAGTCTTCAGTGGGTAGACTTAAGAGGAAAAAGAAGTGTAAGGGTATGGACTTGATGGTGGCCTGTACCCTAAAATCTGAATTGGTTGGTGGTTTCAACAGAGTAAGGGGACGAAAATAAGGGAAAAGAGAAGTGGCCAGACCCTCGGG